GCTCTGCGTGGTAGCGTAGAGAGCACAAATTCATACGTCCCTTACTCTGCGACTGTTCGCTCAACTGACACGTATACATTCATTAATGAAACCAAAATTCACAAACCTTTAAAGACTTTGCCTGAGCTTCAGTATGATTCTGCGTTTTAAATTATGAATTGCATTTGGTTTTGGGATTCTCTGAAGATATTAGCATTTATGATTGTGTAAGGCAGTGATGCCCAAAATACGGCCCGGGGGGCCAGATCTGGTCTGCGACATGGTGCTATTCGGCCCTCCCAAACATCGGACAAAAATGTAGAAATCACCCAAAAAAGGTTTTAAAAAAATGTGTCTATATTAGGTACACACTCTTTCTTTCATGGATTTCATTCTTTGCTATTCTAATATTCATATTTTTTAGGCCTAAGAAAAAAAAACGCTTGTTTTAATTATTAGGTTTTAGGCGACATGAATCTTCTGTTATTTTGAATTCTTTGAAATGTCTGCTGCTGTCCTGAGCTAGCCGTGTATTTGAAATCTTGTGTGTGCAGCCTTGATTTCATCATTCTTTTATTATTTTGGCTTGTCTTTTGGTATTAACGCAAATGGTGCTGTACTATTCAATACGTGTGCGTTAATGAAATGGGAGATCCGAAGAAAACAAAGAAGTTGATACAAAATATAAAACTTTGAAGAAAAGTATGGTTGGATGTAACAGCGGGCTTGCAACAAGAAAAGTTGACAATTCATTCTGTTTATATGGCCCGCGACATGAGTGACAGAAAATAAAATGGCCCGTGGGCCGATCTAGGTTGGGCATCACTGGTGTAAAGTCTCTTATCAAGAACTAATTATTGGGAAATTAATAAAAAAAAGGATAAAGGAATGGTGTTAAGCAACATAGTAAATACAAAATTAATTCATAAATTATTTTTTTTAACAAAACAAATAAATTGGAAGCATACTTGATATCACCATTGATTTTCCTGAATCACCTCATTTCAATCACAATTAAAGTAGCTTCACTTACAGACTATTTTTCAACTTGCTGTTATGCTACTGAATTGTAAACTTTACTTAAGTCTGCAAATGATATCCTCGTCATTTCCCTCTGCTGTGAAATATTCTGAGACATTAAAAAGAAAAATAATTCACCTAGCTTCATGTGAAATAAAAAAACAACATAATTAGCCTGGTCTCGTGAAATTTGTTGTTAAAAATTTAGACCCTGACAGCAGTATTACAAAAAGATTTGAATTTGTAACTCATTTATATTTATTGTCTGTAAGACCTGGGTTTGGTTGCATTGTGGGCAATTGATTTGACAATGAGAAATAGAAAGCTTCAGGGATAATTTATACATCCAGTTACTTGATACTGCATTTGTTTATTGTTGATAATATTACATTTATAATGCATTCATCTCATTTTCTTTGTTAATAATTTATGCATCAAGAAGTCACCTTTTTTCATTCAATTATATTTGCTATGAAGGCTGCCATTTAGTCATTTTCTCATTCTTCAGGAACACAAATATCTGTTTTATAAAATGATATTCCTGTTTTAATGGAAATTTTTTAGTTTATGAAATGATTGTTTGGACACTTGGGTCTCTTTGAACTGTATACAAAGGACCTAAAGAATTATATATTTCCTTTTTTTTCTTAGATTTACAGAGAAATTTGGAAAAAAGGGACATTTTTTTCTTTACTGCCCTAAAACTTAACCTAAACTATTTTGTAGATGAATAAATATATATATTTTTATTGTTTCCAATAAGAATTTTAATAAGCATTACAAATGTCTTTATTTATGTTTCTGAATTTCAAAAATATGAAATTGAAAAAAAGTAAAGTTTCCATTGCAGACCTTGCAATCTATGGGGCAGATGATGTTAAGGTTGTCTGTTTCTATGGCCAACGGTTAATGAGCAGCCATCTTTACATTCCCCAAGTCAGGTACCCATTAGAAATGATTGGACTCAGAAGCACCCTAAAAATCCCAAAAATTCAAAATTCCAGTCTTCACCGACATTCGAACTTCGGACCCCAGGTTTGGAAACCCCCATGAAATTTAAACAGCATTGATAAAATATTGATTCTGAGAGATTTGATAATATTTTCCCTTTAGATTTATGTTTTAAGGCATTTTAATGTTGATGCCTTCTCTGATAAGTTAACAAATCTCTGTGGACCAAACTCAGGGTGAAGTCTTTCCTGGTAAAAGTCTTTGCTCTTTGACTTGATAATGTAAAAGATCTCTGTACCAAAGTCTTTGCTGGTAAAAGTCTTTGCTCTTTGACTTGGTAATGTAAAAGATCTCTGTACCAAAGTCTTTGCTGGTAAAAGTCTTTGCTCTTTGACGATTACTTTAGAAATAAATCTAAGAAGTGCAATGATTCTCTGTTGTTGTTTTCATGTTTGTACAACTATTGAGGAAACTTTACTTTTACATCTATAGTTCTGAAGTAGATAGAAAGTTTTCAGGTATAAATTTTGGCTGCTTTTCAATGTGATGATGGTCCTTAAAGAATTTTTTTTTTGTTAGCAGCTAGATAATGTGAAATGGTTTGTTTGTTTGTAAAATGTTTCATTTTTTGTTTGTAAAATGTTTTATGTGTTTCGCTTGTTCCTTCAGAGTTAAAGATAATTTACTTCCTAGTCCAAAACTCCCGCAGGACGACGGGGGATGGCAGCCGGTACGGTATAAACTCAGGACCATCGAGAAGTCCGAATGACAGTCCAGTGCACACACTGCACAACCAGGCAGCCATACTTAGTAGTTTTTTATTTTGTTTTTTTTAATGGATTTACAACTAGAACTCAGTAAGCATAATTAATTTTACTCTGAATTAAAAGAACTAAATTTAGTATAAAAAAAAATCAGTATTAGTATAATTAGGTATTGGCATTCTTTGTTGTCAAAAAAAAAACTTAACTGGATAAATTTATTTTTTAAAAATCTACATCAGACAGGACCTACCCTAATGTCCTAATCACCAACCCTGATGACCTAATTTCTCTATTTAAAAATCACCATCTTGAAACTGAAATAGCATTCTAAAAGCACCTAAAGTCTATGACCTATGTAGATCTAACACTCTGATGTATTGACACCCAAGAAGACAATGTTGCAGAAGTCAACAAGGTTGTATGAATGCATGTTTCATTTATTTTTTTTTGTTGCTGTGCCAAATCCTAGTTTTTGATATTTGTAAGACCAAGGAGAAAGCTGTGATCTTGTTTTTATTTTTTATCCTTTTTTTTTATTAATCATTATAATTATTTACTTGAATGCATCCCCCCAGAATTCCTTTTTTGATTTATGACAATATTTTATATGTCTGTTTAAATGTTTGTCAATTAAAATGATTGACTATATATGATCAATGTATTACTTGCTCCTAAATGATGTAGATCATATATGATCATTGTATTACTTGCTGTTAAATGTTTGTAAATTAAAATGATAGATCGTATATGATCATTGTATTACTGGCTCCTGTTTGGATCTTCTCTGGAGGTAATTAAAGATCTATTGAGGCCAGTATGAACAGGGTCGAAAAACTGTATACCCGAGATCAATTTTTTTATCCATTGTACCATCTCCAATTTTATGTACTTCTTTGTTGTTACAAAACTTTGACCTTTTTCAGCATTTATGAGAACAAATAAAATTTGAGAATCGCCTTATAATTCATAATCTCTAATAAGATGTTTGAAAATAATAAACTTTGGACTTGAAAGTTAACCATACCTTTATATGAATCAGAGTGTTGTCTGAAACACTAGAAGTTGGTTGACTATGTTTTGAATCCCAATTAGTCATTGTGGCCTCTGAGTGATGCTAGAGTGTACTGGAGTATAGACTTTAATGTTCATGTTTTTTTTTTATTTGTAAAGAAGTAAAATATAAAAAATACTATTTAAAAAACAAAGCTTATATAGAGCGAAATTATATCTATTATTTTGAATCAATCATCTAATTAATTTATAATAGATCTGGACAAACTATAGTAAATTTTGTGATGCCAGAAATACTTTTTTTTTTTGTGTAGTCCAATTACTTTTGTGGACTTTATGGGAGGGGGGGGATCTGGAAAAGGCTTCTGTGTTACTTTTTCAAAAGATAATTTATAAAGGAGTTTACATTTGAATTCAAACTCAGGATGTCAAGCCACTGAGCTTTACAAGTACTTATAAAAGTAGATTTTATAGTACAAACGTCTATAGTTTAACTTTTTTTGTGAAAAAAACTAATTCTCTACACAAGGCTTATCTCCCATTAGTTAAGTATATTTCTATAGAAAACAAGATTAATTAAGTACGACACTCTGGTGTCGTAAACTGATTAATTTTTTTATTGATTCACGTGTTGTCATAGACATTGAATAATCATGCAAAGTTTCAACTTGATCTGAGAATGGGAAGTGATAGAGATAATGTGGGAAGCGTGGTCGAGAGGCTAAGTGCGCTTGAACTTGGCTTGTCTTGGCTACCTAGAAGGGAGCTCGAGGCCCGATGCGGGTAGAGTTGCGTTTACTGAGCGCCTAAAGGGAGCGAAAACCAACTCCTAGATACGCCCTCCCCCCCCCCCCCCCCCCCCCCACTGGTCCACAAATGAGATTAGACCAAAGCGCTCTAACATGCTATAAGCATGAAAGTAGCGCTATATAAAAAGCTATAATAATAATGTGTATAAGATTCCACCCAGAAAGACAGAGTGAGTTGATCTAAATAAACTTTGTAAAAAATGACTAAACTTTCAGTTTGAATTAGATCAATATTTTTAATGTATACTTTTGTTAGTGAATCTCTAGCATTTTCATGATTGTTATGTAATGCATGCAGTAGTTGTTCCTCAATTGATTGAACAACTTCTCAAAATCTTTTCTCTGTGATATTAAGTTTTTCTCATCTTAATGCATTCAACTTCCTTTGGTGTTTGTGACATAATGCATATCTTAATTCAACTTCAGCTTGTTTTTGTGGCATACTGTACAAACTACATAATGCATATCTTACAAGCATGTTTTTTTTTTTTTTGGAATATACAAGCTTGACATAATGCATATCGTACAAGAATTATTTTTTTTTTGGAGTTGACCTTTTGTGCAAACATTCTATATTAGTCTAGTTGAAAAAAAAAAAGTTTTACTTGCAGTAAATGTTTATGTTTACTGTTGCTATGTATTATGATAAATGTATTTACCTTGGCCATGTATATATATATAAATGTATTTAGAGATTGTCTCATTTAATAAACTTTTACTATCTAGTTTCTTATTTCCAAACTTCATTACACATTTATAAACCTTTAGTATTGTCTAGTCATTAAGATAATCAAAGGGATTTCTGTTTTTACTTATCTCTAACTATAGTCAAAATACTGAAACCATGAGCTACATACACTATTACTTACATACATATTTAACCCAGACTACACGTCTACTTTACAGACAAAAAAAAATGTACACACACATTTACTTACAAGATCAAGTAATGACAAAAAAAAATTTTTTTTTAAGATAATATTTTTTTCATTTTTATTTATTTGTATAAATTGTTTGAACAGATAAAAATAATAGATTGTTTTTCTTTAGTGAAAGTTAAACTGTATCAAACATATACAATTATAGCCATCACAAATGCATACAATATAAATGTTGTCTCGTTTGGAACAACAGCTATCCATGGATGATCTTTCAATATCCAAGATGGATGATAGTACAATCAATATCCAAGGTGGATGATTGTACAATCAATATCCAAGATGGAAGATACAATAATTCAAACATTTAAATTTCACTCTAGAAATTCATTTTATATTTAGAGGAAGGAGAAAGCCTCAATAACCAAATCTATAAAAAAAAAAAATTTAATTAAAAATTAAGATTTGGTTCGGCTAGGTCAGATTAAAAACAAAAAGGTATCAAAAGTATGCACTCTTTAAAAAAAAATTCATAAAGATGCTGAGAGTTAAAAAAAAAAATTCTAACGACAGAAATCAACAATCTTTGTCTCCCTTTTTTTAAAAATATATAAACAATGTCAAGCACCATAAATCTAAAGTTACTATCATGAAGAGAACTCTTGTCCATATAAAAAGTTAAACCGCAAACTCATGAATAAGAGAAACAAAAGTTTGTTAATAAAAAAAAAAAAAAGAGACTAGAATATTAATACTTATTCAAAAGAGCAGACAATTCTGGATTACTTTATGGCAAGAAACTATGAAAAAAAAAAAAAAAGTGACTCAGGTCATGATGATCTTGCAAGGAAGAGCACTCTTTCTCCCCCAAAATGCATTGTAATACAGATGTTGCTAAAAATATTGTTCTGGTTGATCTTTATTGCTATTTTTTAATGGTAAGAGACTAAAACACAGAAAAATCAAGTCACGATGAGTATACCAGGTGGAATTCCCCACCCCACAAAAAATAGATATAAAATGCATTGGTAATAATACATTATAAATTGTTTCTAGCAAAAACAACTTTGATTCAATGAATAAAACAAAACTGTTGATTGATTCTCACTCAGAAATCCTGGTGACTATGTGAAATAATATTTTCATATGTCATGACAAAAAAATATAAGAGAAAATCATTGTACAGTGAAACAAATCATTTAAATAGTTTCTTCTGATACTGTTCTGAAACAAAAAAGAACATTTTTAGCTGAAAATCTTACTGCTTAGCAGCTTTAGCTTACTTGCCAACTCCACATCTCTGTGTGTTCAGGAAGATAAACTTTAAAGTAGGCCAAGTAGAGTTTAGTAAATTAAAAATTAAAAAAATTATTTGACTATTGAGTTTTAAAAAATTTGTAAAGTTTGTAAAGTGAAACTTCTTATAAACCCAGATTTGAAGATAATAAAACCTCTAAGGATAAAAAAAAAGAATAGCCAATAAGAGTTCTTGTCAGAGTTAAATGAACGAAAACCTCCACATCATGATGTACATTGGTAGTTAAACAAAATCTGATAAGCTCTGTTCACAGCAACCTGAAAATGTCTTCAAGCAGTAAGGGTTAGTTCTTCAATAGTAACATTTTTCAAACAAACAGAACACAATGAAATGATAGTGTTACACATTCAACCCACACATTATGCATAGTGTATGTGTTGTATGCTATTTATGTTTAAAAGTTGATATCTTGACTCCAGTCTGTTTGGAAATTATAATACTACATAATGTAAAAAAACAAAAACAAATCAGTCATATTCAAATTAAATATATGCATGTTTTTTTTTGGGTTAACTCAATTTCAATAAATAAAATAAATAATAAAAAAAAAAACAAGCAAAATTTTTGTGCACAAAAGAACTATTGCATAGTTGAGGACAAAAAAAAAAAATAATGTTAAATATCTTTGACTAAAACAAGTTTGCAAAACATTTGAAATACATTACAATCTGGCACATGGAGAAAAACACTGGCACAGTTTATGTACAGAATTACTCTATTTCTTTTTTTATACAAATATTAAATCATGTGATCAAGTGTGTAACTTGCATTATCAAAATATAGAAAAAAAATTAACAGGGCAAATACAAAGCCAAAACACAATGGAGCCCAAGACTTGCTTAAGTTCATCTTGCAGTCTTCGCCAGATTTTTGTCAAACAAACATGACAAAGTAAAACAGATGCTAAAACATGCAAATTGATTGCCACATAACAATTGAAATGAATACAATGTCCATTGTTCCTCTTCTTCTAGCCAGCTTTTTGCTGCTGAGCTCTTTTACAGACTGTGCCAAGAAAAAATAGTGGGATGTTTTTTTTTCATTTGTTCAGCACTGCCGTACAGGGTGTTGGTTATGTTGAGCTGTAGTGGTAGTAGGGTCTGCCTAAGATACAATGTCCATCAGATTCCCATAATAAAGGAACACCACCTTTTACATTTTAATTCTAGGAAATATTTTTGACATCTAAAACGTTACACAGTCTGTCTGTAACTACAAACATGAGGTAAAACACAGATATTCTCTCCAAAGCTTGAGGCAACTATCCAGGAGATACATGTGCAGTGTTAGGTACATATTCTTATCTGATCATTTGTAAAAATAACCATATTCACCATCCAACTCATACAAACTTTTCAACAATTCATACATTTCAAGGGTTGCACATTTTTTATATAGTTTTTTTTATGTAGACCTGCAAAAAATAAATTTCATTACGCACAATCCCAGGGTTGATTTTTTGTTATTGCTGTCATAACATATTTAGCATATCAATGTAAACAGTTGTTAAAACTTATTTCACAAAAATGTTTGCTTGAAATTTTGCTCAGATTAGAACAAATAGATATTATAACAAAACATCTTAATTTTACAAAATTAAAATCATTTTTTATAATTCAGTACAACATGGTCAAGTCTAAAACATTTGTAGTTTTAAAAAGGTCAGATAAAAAAAAAATTAAAAAAACGCTTTAAAATCTGCATGACACAAATAGCTAAGAAAAAGAGCAGCGTAGTGTGTCATCTGAACAAACAATGTTCAATAAATGTTATAAGCCTTACTAGTCCAACACTGTGGTGAGGGTCGAGGTTATTCTAAAATGTTCACATCAAATCTGGGAAAACACGGGACGGTGATGGAGGACAGAGTGAAAAGTAAAATGTAAGTGACAACAAAAGGTTTCCGAAGGGTTAGGGTTCACAGTACAGCCGTAGACATAACTATAACAATAAATAATTTTAAAATAACTGTACTTTGAGAAATCTTGGGTTTAAAAAGATAACACTTAGGTGAATTTTTTAAAAAAATCGACAAACAGTTCTAACCGTAAAAACACAATTCAACTCCAACCATTTAAAAAGTTATGAAGGTATGCAACCTAGTCTAATCCTTAATTAAAAGAGACTAAAATCTTTTATTCCTGACAAACATTTCATTACTAACAAACACCCTGCATTTTAAAGTTGACTTTGATGAAGCAAATATTAAAATACATTATAAATGTAAACTTTGTATAAAAAAAAGGGGGGATAAAAGACTAAAAAATAATTTAAAAAAAAAAATGTATAGAAAGAATAAATTCACACAAATGCATAGAATAATGTAGAAAGTAAACAACACACATATTTATAATTCGATAAATCCTAAAGGTTACTTTTGTGTTGCAACAAGTTGAAACTCATCCCAATGATAGGCTTCATGTAAGTGTCAAATTGAATATGAGGTTAATATATTTATACAGTTAGTTCAAAAAATATAGTTGCACAGATATTTCATAAATCCCTGATTTCGATTTTGACTTAAAGCTATGCAAATAAAAGTTTATTTATAGATAGTCTTGCCTTTATTTGAAACTTGCACAAACTTGAATTTGGAATCAACGGATTCACTGAAGAAAGTTTAGATTTTGATTTTTCTGAAGCAGGCCTCTCCTGCACATATGATCATGTAACCCAGTGGTTCCCAAACCTTTTCCTTAATGGAACACTTCGCACATTTGGAGTATTTAACATCTATCAAGTTCAATGATGACCACTTTTGTCATCAAGTGGCGCTTCCCTTTTATTAATTGACCATAAAGGAATTATTTAGTGACTTCCATTCTGCAGATGTGGCCTGCCCATCACAGCTAAGACAGCATCAGGATTCCTGGATGTAGGTTAAGCATTAAAATGGATGTAGACTTAGCATTACAACCTAGGCCAGGATACAATTCAAAAGAACGTGAGTACAACTAAGACTAACCGCACTTAACCAAAATGTTATTTCTCCTGTATCTTAGCTACAGAAATAAATACTGACATAATGGATTCAATATCAAGCACATATATATATAAATATATATATATATATTTTACAAACACACATGTACTGCATTCCTCATTAATCTTCGCAGCTGAAGACAAGCCTTATTATTATTATACAAACTATTATGTAAGTATTCAAGAAACCATTGATTATTTGAATAGAGATTTACAACAAACAGGTCAAACTGTAAACAGGTTGTAGCTATTTACAATGCGCTATATGTAGCCCTTCTAGAAAAAGCTGTTTATCAAATCTTATGTTATAACTTGATAGGCAAACGTTAACTGACTAAACAAAATTTTCAATGCCTCTTCTGTCTTCTTATGGCTATTTATAGTGCATAATCAGATAACCAAACCAACGAAAAACAAGATACAAGATTGTAAAGACATGAAATCAACTGAATTGCACTTTTGTCAACAAGGATAAAACAATATTTGTTTCTGTTAAAATTTGATCAAAGATTTTTTCTTTTTTTGAACAAATGTTTTCATAATTTGAA